AATTTCGATCATAAATTTTGATTGGTTACTGGATTTGACGATCAAAATGCCGATCGAACAACTTTGAAATGGCCTAAAAAGGGCTTGTTAGACTGTTTCTCCAAAGCACAGCTGGTTTACTCGAGCGGAAAAAACCCTCAGTGTTACTCGCTTGTATTCTGCGGACGTTTTTAAAACACAATCCCTGCGCAAGCGTCTGCTAGGTATTAAGTTGAAGGTCGGGAAAAAACCCACAGTGTTATTCATCTTGGATAGGCAGAAACGTTATTACCTTTGGGAGTTTGTCTGCTAATGACCCAGTGTCGACCAGGATGGTACGCTTCAACGCCAGCTGAGCTTTTTCTCTGCGTCGCGTAGCATTTGGAGATTCTATGTTTTTTAATAAAAGATTAACCTTCAGATGAAGTTTTCAAGAGATAATAGTGAACATTTTGGAACGGTATGTTTCGTTACGAAACTTCGTTTTTTTTTTTTTAAATTGGGAACGTCGTCACTAACGTTCCCTTTATTTTTTAGGAGACCTGGATGAACCAGACGAACCGGACGACCAGGATTTTAAACGAACGTAGCATCTTGCCAGTTCCTCACCAGTTCCATGACAGCTTCGGATCACTACCATAGCGCCAGTTTGGATCCTCCAAATCACATGTTCTAAAGATCAGCCTGAATTATGCCATAGTGCCGGCCAAAATCAGATTTGCAATTTACTATGCCACCCGACTTGTACTATGGTAAGTTCGTTCGTTTTGCTTTTTGATTTTGCTTTAGGGAACGTAATTAACGTCCCTTTCATTGTTTTTTGTAGGAACTGGGGATTTTCGGTATTTGAACGTTTATAAATGGTAAGTTTCATACGAAACTTCCCTTTTTTTTTTAATTGGGAACGTCACTAACGTTCCTTTTCGTTCTGTTTTATAGGAATCGGGCTTGGGACATTTAGGACACTTGGAATGGTAAGTTTCGCGAAACTTCCGTTTTCTTTATATTTCTTTAATTGGGAACATCTATTAATGTTCCCTTTCGTTTTTTTTATAGATCTGACTTTGGATTATATATTTCAATAGATAGTTGTTTGTTGGAATCGAACCAACTGGAACAATGTTCTAAACCATTAACAACAAGTAGCTAGAATAGTTTAGAAATAGAGTATAATAATATTATTTAGCATTTATTATTTAAATTTTTAATATTTGATAAATTCATTAATTTTATTAGGTTTAAAACAAGAAAAAATTATTGAAAAATTATAATCTAATAAAATTTCCTCAGTTTTTTCCCATTCTTTTGCAAAAACTTCCATTGAACGAATATTTCTTTTCAAAAATAATATCTGACCCACCAAATTTGTATCCAAACGCGTTCTTTTCACTGTAATTAAATTACTATCATGTGAAAATAATCTTTCACTTGATACAGATGTTGCTGGTATTCCAAGATATTTGCGAGCAATTTGTGATAAATTTTTGCTCGAAGTCGCTTCCAACGCAATTGGCATTGCTAAATAATTACTAATTTCATCAATTGTTGTAGGTGATTTATCTTTTTTATATTTACTTTGACGCCGTTGACGATAATCTTTTTGTGATCGCAACGATGCTTTTGCATTTAAAGAAGGCATGATTGGATTTGATGATTTTATTGCAGGTGAGGGTGGTGTTAGTAAATTATTAGATTCATTAAACTCAATACGAAGTTTTTGGATTATCCTTTCTTTTTCATCTTCTAACAAAAAATCCAATTCTTTATAGCGAGAATCTAGCAAAGAAACCATTAATCCTGCATCATGAGGAGTATTCCAGTAATAAAGCAAAGCATTATATATATTTTTCTTCACTTTTTCGAAAATTCCTTCAGTATTTAATGGATCTTTAATGGAAATCTTCTTTTTACTAATATTACTTATAATTTCTTTGGTATCATTTTCTATATCTACAGTGTCTTTTTCAAATACAGTATTTTCATTAAGATAATTAATCTGTATTATTTGATGGTACTATATTAAAAATGAGTTCATTAATATTAGGCATCATTTTGCTGAGAGTTACATAAGATCCTCCTGAAAATTCCCAGGTTATTTCTTCGAATGGAAGTAAAATATCAACCAATTTATCCAACAAATCCCATTCTTCTTCAGATAATAAGATTTTTTTTAATTTAATACTATCATTTTTGTCCTCTCTACTGGTATTCATTTACAAATCAGCTTGGAGTTGAATGATTGTATCCTTGAGATAAAAAAGACGATCTCAAGCATAAGATAAAGAATTCTAACATGTTTGCACATCTTGTATACAACGCATTACATTCTCATATTTTAATTTACGCTGAATTTTTTCCAATCTTTCTATTTGCTTTTGTGTTGAAAAAAAATTGATTAATCTCTTTGCACGTACTATTAGAATTTCCATAGGTACCAATCCTTTTTCAATTGCTAATTGAAGTGTATGAGTTATACAGGGAAGTTGTTGAATAGCTTTACATTGATTCTTTTTATTTAAAATAGGAAATGCTACCTTCATATTTGATCTATTGTCTGTAACAATTGCTATTATACGATCATTAAGATCCTAACTTGAAATACATTTATAAAGTAATTCAGCAACAGAATTTGCGGTATGAGGAGAAGGAGCATATTTTATTTTTAATATTACATCTTTAACTTTAAAATCTGATGTAATTCAGGTTGCAGTAATACCAATATACACATGTTTAGCCTTACTAGACTAAAGATTTGTAGTGAAAGACACCATTGTTGCAGTTTCACTTAAGATATTTTTCAAGTTTTGCTTATTATGTCGATAGCTTTTAACTATCATTGTTTTAATTTTTTGTTCTCTAGATACTATAAATAAAGAATCAAAATGTATTATTTTTTTTTTATATGCTGGATTAGTAATGGTTAAAATAGGTTGATTAATAAATAATATCCATTTAAAAAGAGATTATTAACGTTGCTTTTGAATATACTTAGGATGAGAATGATGAGATCGAGCATAATCAGTAATTTTTGCATTTCGTAACTAAAAAAGAATAATTTAATTAATTTAATTATACTAAATTCAGGGTTTTATAATTTACATTATAAAATTTAAAATTTAAACATTTATAAAATAAAATTACTTTTTAGGTTTATTTTCATCTCATCAATGATTTGGTGAGTATCTCATAAATGTGCAATAAGATTTCTAGTTGAACTTCCCATATTTCGATATGTTTAACTGTATCTCTTTTCATTATTATCTAAAACAATATAAATCTGAGTTTCTTCACCCTTTAAATTAAATCCTTTTTCAAAATACTGCTTTGTAAATGATGGTTTTCTTCTTTTATTTAGACCTTAACTTTTTGACTTCTACTTTTGAAACTTCTGAAACTAATAAAAGAGCCTGTGTTTGTTTCTTTACCTTAATAAATAGTATTAATTAAAATTGAAAAAATATAAATTATTGAAATTTTAAATAATTATTTAATTTAAATATTACTTTTTCCTTTTTCTACTAAAGGATTTTAAGTAATATCATCCTCTTCAATAAAATTAAAAATGAAAAAAAATTTTTTAAAAAAATTTATCATCCGGATTGATAATCCTAGAATTATAATTCAAATTTATTAACAAATCTATTTATCTAAAAATATCAGATACAGATTGAGATCAATCTGAATTTATCAGATTTAGGATTAGATCACTACTTATAAGGCTAGTTCTGAGAGCATAAGTTTAGCATCTTGTATTTTATTAAAGCAATTGCAAGTTAATGCATCCAAATTAGCATGTAATCTTGAAAACTGTGAAGATTCTTTATAATTGAAGTCATGTAACATGGTGGAACTTAAATCTAGTTAGCATGATAAAGTAATTGCCAAGTTGGATAAAAATATAATTATGAAACAGGAGTTAAAGCAAAAGTTATTATCACCTGAATACACTCTTTCATTAGATCAAATTTTAGAACAGAACAAAATATAGCTTACATATTTAGGAAAGCTATTAAGTTTGATTAAGAAGCAATTTTATACTGATGTTATTTTATAGAAAAATATAATAAAATGATTAGTAACTTTGTTACTGATAAAGTTAAGAAAAACTGCAACATCTATGGTATATCAAGAAATCAAACAGCTTTTACTTGATATAATAGATGTGAATTTATGTCAAAAAATCCTTAGAGCTAGAAAATTATATAAATGATTCAATACATTAAGACTAAAGAAAATTAAACAGGTCTCTTATAATATAGATGGCATTTTAAGTCTCAATTACCAACAAATTCAAATATAATAGATTATGTAAATTTAGTAATAAATTCATATAATAAAACTATGAAGATTCTTTGCAATTAGAGTCATATGATTTTGAAAACTGTTTCTTAAAAAAATAATCAAATTAAGGCTAAGATAAGTACATTAGCAAATATATTATCTGCATCTCAATCTAATCCAATCTATAACTAGTCCTATTTTTATAATAAAATATTAAATCAATATTCTAATTTATATAGAGAATTTAGTAGTAAAAATTTTAATTATTATGGAATTACTAATGAGAAAATATGTTTATTATACAAATTAAAGTATAAAGCATAGAAGGGATATATACAGTGGCCCACAAAAGAAACGCAAGTGTGATTGGTTACCTTTGAACGGCTATAACTCATCAACCACAAA